ACAAGGCCTTGTTTGAATTTTGTCGAGAATGTCGACAATATACAACAGAAGAATCAAAGAGGATATGACAGCAGTATTCAATGCATGTACAAATGGTATATTTATAATTGTGCAAGTTGGATTCTAAGGAGAAGAATTGTCTGGAACGACAGTGAACCAAATATCCTAGCAGCAGGCCTAGCAATTGATTCCGTATGACCACTCCACATCACGTCAGGGGAAAATGTGCTTCCAAGAAGATACAAAGATTTGCTATCCTGGAGATTAGCATCAGCCATACTGGTGGTAAGTAGAAAACATTCTCTGTGGTGATTAAATAAAAGTAGTTTTATTTTGGAAACGTTAAAATTTACAAGCCGTTTCTTGCCCCAGTTGACCACTGATTGAGGTTCCTTTTCGAGAGCAGTTGCTAGATTTAATTTGTCGGACTTTCTACTAAGACAAGAGTAAATCTTTATGTCAATTGCATAAATACTTATTTGGGAACTGATGCAGAGGTCGTACTATTTAGTTTTAGTAGATTTTTTCAGGTAAAAAAACATAGATATTTAATGAAAAACTCTGGCCCATTAGTTTCGATATTTTACAATAAACACGGAAAGATAGACTGTGAAAGTAAAGGAAAACTATGTAGAATACTAAGTGATGTGATTTAATGACTAATAAAAAAAATGTGAGTAAATATTATATTTGTTGTTCATTTTTTCCTTCCTAATTTATATATATTTCTTTACTTTTGCTAAATTATTTATATATTTATATAATTATATTTATTTAATTCAACCGTCTTCTTTTTTATATTTTCATTTGTCCAATTTTTACAAATATATATTCCTATATATATATATATATATATATATATATATATATATATTTTTTTTTATAAAAAAATTATAACATAAGTATGTTATAAGGTCACAATGTTTCCCCCTAGTGTAGGATCGTTAATTAATCTGAAACTTTTAAAACCATTTATTTTATTTTCAACATCATCACTTGATAAGACACAGAGTGTGTTGAAACAAAATGGCTATTTTTGTAGTGATTTTATAACATACTTATGTTATAATTTTTTTTTATAAAAAATAATTATATCTGCTCTACTTTGTATTGAGCACTCTTTTAAGAATAGTAATTGTTGGTTATTGGAATTCATTCCGTATATACCAATTATATACTTATGTGTGTGTGTGTGTATTATAATAAACTTTGACATATAACAAACACCACTACTTTCATCAAAGCAGAGACCCCTTGATAATGAAAAACTCACCCCAGATTAGACCTCCATTTCAAAACTATAAAGGAGTAAAAAATTTCGTTGCTAAGTTATTACAAACATCGCTTGAGGATAAAACAGTCATCCAACATTTAAAGTTTAATGTTGAAATTAAACTTGAATACGGATCACCAATTTCAAAACAGTAATATCTGTGTTGCAATGCAATCATATTTAAAAAAAAATAATTATAATCTAGGCTCTACATCTGTATCGATTACTTTTTAAAAATTAAAAACAAAAATACTAAATAACTTAGGATCTCACAGTTCTTTCCTATTATATCAATACACACACACACACACACACACACACACACACACACATATATATATATATATATATATATTATTTGTCAAAGATGTTTGCTTAAATATTATAGACAATTTCTGTTGATCAAATTTATTATTAAATTTTTCAGATTTCCGAATTAGTTGTTTATCAGAGAATTTGCCAAAGTTCATATTTATATTTTTCTCTTAGTTTTTTTTCCCCGAGTACTTTCTAATGTTTCTACATTCGTTTTCAAGGATTGTGTTTTAAAAAGACTTACGCAACAGTTCCAGATAGATAGATAGATAGATAGAATTATATATAGATATACATGGATGTAAATAAATATAATTGCGTACTTGGGCACCAATCTTTCTGTAATACATGTTTAATTAAAAATAACTAATGATTTACTTCTTTTAAGTTTTTTTTCTGTATTGATAAATGTTTCCTTTTTTGGACATGGAGAAATTGCCCTAAATGCTGTCTATTCTTGGAGACTTAGGCTAATCTATTAGACATTCTCATTTAATTGCGTAGGTTCCTGTTAGGTAGGTATGTTATAATATCAGTTCTAGAAATTTTTGTTCACTTCTTCGTGCTAGGGAATATTTCTCGCCAGAGTCCATCTTATCCGGGGTGTATCAAAAATACTTTTACAAAATTTGGGGGCGGCGTCCTCACAACAAAACAAGGACAAACGTCCATATAATATGTCCACAAATCAATCTTTTTAGTTATTAAGTTTAAAGAAAGTATGTGGAAGATGGCTGTGTGTTACCTGTAAAATAGGTTACATGTATCATCCGTCTACTTTTGTGGCTAGTCAGTCTTCAACATATAACATGTGTAGTAATGAGTTAACTGAGAAGTGTTCCGGTTAACAATGACAGAGATTCATATCGTGATCAGGTAGATATGACTTTAAATACGGCCGCGTGAATGGTATTGGACGGGAGGCTACACAGCTGTATCAGATTGCGTTTCCAAATCGAAGGTAGCCGAGTAATCTAACCTTTGCTCTTGTTTATCGTCGTGTAGCTGAAATAGTAACCGTGGCAGCGCAAACTCTGGTTCGAGGAAGTACATTTAACGGCATCTACCGCAAACTTAACTCAAAAATGAAGAATTTGCGGACATGTGTTTATATGTCCTTGATTTTGTCTGACGAACCCGACCCCAAAGTTTGTAAAATGTTTTTTGATACACCCTGTATATTTATAAGTCCATTATCCGCGCATGCTTTCAATATTGCAGCCACATATAGTCTTGTTTTATTGCTATATATTTGAAGATTCTTAATAAAATCCAAAGAAGAATCTGGAAATACATTGGTTTTGACCTGGCTTCTCGTCTTGAGTTACTTTCCATCTGCCTCAATATATCTTTTCTATGCCTTTTCTGTAAATACTTTCATCATATTTGATCTGATGGACTTCCCCGTAATGAAAAAGAAAACAGATGTTAAATCGTTTAATTAATTAGTGATAGGTTTGTACATGATTAAGTTCAAATAAACTGCATTTTGTATGAATTCTGCTTTGTGAAAATTGAAATGTAGTACAATGAGGAACCTATATAATAGATTTAGGGGTGGGCCTATTAGTCCCTGAAGATGTCTAGGTTCTGTTCAGATACAGTCCTTCCAGTAACCTTAAGTTAATCCTTCACACTTCTTACGCTATAAGCCTTTCTTAGGTACTGCTATGGAATATCAAAAAGAAAACTGAAGAATGTATTTTAAATAATTTAAATGACTTTGAAATTAAATTTTAGTAATTCTTCAATACAGCTGCATAAACATTGGTGTCAAAGTTCACAGTCAATCATCGATCCGAATGAATTATTATCATGAGAAGATATTTTGCAAGATTGATTGCTTATTACAACACAGGAATCATTTTAGGAGGCACAGGGGAGTAATGGATAGTGACTCGGATTGAGGAATTTGAGAGCCGAGTTTGAATTCCAGTCGAATCCATTACATTAACTTACATGCTAATACCCTTGGGAAAGGTATGAATCCTCTTCTCCCTTTATATATGGTTAAATAGCAGGACTGACCAGCTTCTATAGCGTTGGATGGCAACTGGTCTACTGCAGAAAGAAATGGCAAGCTACTGCTTAATTAAAAAAAAAACAACAAAAAAACAAAAAGGGATAGAAAGACAGTACTGCGCATGTCCCTCCTCAATCCCAAATCTATGGCGAGTAATGGCTATCTCAGAATACTCACTTTGGTCAAATCATGTTAACGTGATTTGACTGGGATCGTGGCATTTAATGAAGTTTTCTTTTCGTTTTGGTGGTTAGAAACTGGGGATTTGCAAACGCAATTTGAAAGTGTTGGTATTCCGACAAATACTAAGTTAAAACTTAATTATTTTATATTCTATTTTATAACCACTTGTTTTATGATTGCGATGCATTTGATTTCCGTTTGGCCCTCGTTAGTTAGGTTCTTAGTTCGCACGACCATTACGCCCTGCCAGTACCTGATAAATAATGGACTATTCCGTTTTGACCGCGTCAGAAAACGGAAATGATATCAAAGACGCTACTTGGTTTCAGTGATAAAATGAAATAAAGAAAGAAAGAAAGAAAGTTTAACATCTGCCATGAAAGAAAGAAAGCATAAAAAAGAGAGAAATACATGTGAAAAGGAAGGGAGAAATACAAATTACAAAATGAAAGAAATATTGAAGGCGAGAAGAGAAACAAAATGAAAAAAGAAAAGAGAAGGAAAAGAAGGAGAAAAATAAAAAAAAGAAGGAAACAAAATAAAAAAAAAGCAAAAGTAAAGAAAAGACAGCGAAAATAAGTACAAGAAAGACAGAAGAGAGAAAGAAAGAAAGAAAGAAAGAAATATGTGTTTGAAGTGAAATGGAAAAAGCTGTCAACTTTAAATTGTTTTCATGGTTGTTATTGCAATATTTTGTTAAAGTTGTTAAGCTGAAATATTTAACAATGAATTTGGGTGGATATTTTATTGCCGGACAATTTACTACGTGCTTCGTCAATCACGGACTTAATAATTAAGATTCAATATTCAAATAGGAAAACCGCTAAAATTTCAAGTGTATCTCAAGTAAAATAGTATTACTAATATATCAATGAACTGTGTTGCTTCAATTTGAGAGAAATTAATTTTGATCTCTATAATGCTATTCAGAAAGAAAATTACAATAAAAACATAAAAGATGTACGTTTTAAGTCATCTTCAGTGAAACAGACACGCACACACATATACATACATATATACATATATGTATATATATATATATGTGTGTGTGTGTGGAGTGGGTATAAAAGAGCTTGAGAGTGATCAAGAAAAAGTGAAAGAAAGCGGCTACAATAATCTCAGTCTTACGCAAATCCAAAGATTTTTGCCTGGAAAATTGGTATTCAGATCCATGATTCTCCAAAGACTCGAACCTGATTTGTTAGCTCACGTATGCAACGATCTCTGTGACTTAGCAATCCCAGAGGTACACAGATTTATAGATGGGTAGCTTAGGATGAGAGAGAGAGAGAGAGGAGAGAGAGGGAGGGAGAGATAGAGAGAGAGAGAAAAAGTGTGTGAGTGAGTGAGTGAGTGAGTGAGTGTGATAGAGAGAGAATTAGCGAGAAAGAGAGTGAGAACAAGAGGAATGATAAGTATAGAGAGTAATAAAGAGAGAAAAATGAGAAGAGGGGTAAGCAAAGATAGATAGAGAGAGAGAGAGAGAGAGAGAGATTCTCTGTAGTTAGTGTGCGTGCGTGTGTGTAAGAGTGAAAGAGAAAATGAATCGGAAAAGAGTGAGAATAAGAGGAGTAATGAGTATAGAAAATAATATAGAGAGAAAGGTAAGAAGTATGGTAAGCAGAGAGAAAGGGAAAGAGTGTGGGAGTGTGTTAGTGTGTGTGTGATTGAATGAGTGAGAGAGGGAAAACGAGGGAGAAAGTGAGTGAAAACAAGAGGAGGAGAGTTAAGTATAGAGAATAATAAAGAAATGAAGGTGAGAAGAGGGGTAAGCAGATAGAAAGAAAACGAGAAGGAGAAACGAAGAAAAGAAAAAAAAGTTACAACAACGACTGACAAATGAACGTCAATAATAATAATAATAATAATAATAATAATAATACGAAGAAGAAGAAGTTGTTGACCATGTTCACCATAGTCTATGAATATAGAATATAGCGCAGTACGTAATCTGTTCAATGAAACAACGTTAAAGATTAACACTCAAGGGACAGACACTCTACTGAATCTGACTATATCGCCAATACCACCAGCAGCTGTTCCGCAATTCTTCAGTCCTCGATATTAAAGGCTGGCAGTGATACTTAAGGACCATAGTTTCGTCCCGGCTCTACAGGATACAAAGCAGGAAACATATGGTACACAAATAATAATAATAATAATAATAATAAGACCTTGAAATAGAAATCTCGAAAAAGTGGCATATGGGAACATCAACAATCCCTGTTGTAGTTGGAGCCCTAGGACTGGTTGGAAAAGATTGCAGTAGATTAATTGAAGGGATTCCTGGAAGTCCATGCTTCAAGGAGATACAAAAAATTGTTCTGACAAGTACAGCCCACACTTTACGAAGGGCTTTATCTACGTAATTATTTTTTTGTCAGTGGAAAGTGTCATGATGCCATTTCTAACCTTAGGTCCCTGGGCGGGAACCGGAAAGAAATGTGTAAACGCCAGAAATCAAAGAAAATAATAATAATAATAATAATAATAATAATAATAATAATAACATCATAATTGTCTCTCTAGTCTGTCGACTCCATGATTTAATGAAGAAAATGAACGCGCGAAAAAAAAACAAAAAAAAACACAAGAGCAGTTTGGATACACCGATGTTTCCTTGGCGGGCGGGAGGTGTGGTGTTTTAAGGGTGAAGAAGATTGAAATCGACTGTTTCATTTAGCCCCTTTCATTTTACCTAACTTTACCTAAATCATTTTTCTCATTAGGTCTTCGATTTTTTCCCATCCAACCACCTCATTTTCTGCAGCTAGAATCTATATATCTGAACTTACTCACCTGTTCAACAATGTCTCTTGATGGAGATCGTTTTGTGTAAAGTATCACAATGACACATTGATTGACAAATGCTTACATATTGAACAAACTTAGCCGGGCTTTTTCCATAACGAATTCTTTTTCCTGTTTCCTTACAATGTTTCTGCTTATTAATGGTGTTAACTGATTTTCAACATCAGTAGGGCCTTGTAGTTTATCCTAGAGAACGAGTGCCAAAAAAAGAACAAAAAAAACACGTCTGCTCACCATCCAAAAATGAATAGATATATACAGACTGAAGTAGAGAGGAAAATGTTCTTTTTTTTCTTTCTTTCTTTCTTTCTTTCTTACTTTCTTTCTTTCTTTCTTTCTTTCTTCTCGATTGTTTAGACGTTCCATTTTGATCAAATTTTTCTCAATGCAATACAATAGTTAATATCAACAGCTTGCGAGACAATCTGATTAATTGCAAGAAACGCATATTATTTGAAAGCACCAGAATTTGCTCATAATCTTGGGGCGCTACGGCTTTAAACGAACTTACAGTCAGGGCTTTTGATGATTTACTTGCTAACTATCGCACAGAAAATGTGCGAAAGATGTGCATGGACAGAGATAGATAGATAGATAGATAGATAGATAGATAGATAGATAGATAGATAGATAGATAAATTCAGATAGATAGATAGATAGATAGATAGATAGATAGATAACGAATAAGCCCAGATAGATAGATAGATAGATAGATAGATAGATAGATAGATAATGAAAAGACCCTGATAGATAAATAGATAGATAGATAATGAATAGACCCAGACAAACAGACAGTTAGATAGATAGATAGATAGATAGATAGATAGATAGATAGATAGATAGATAGATAACGAATAAACCTAGATAGATAGATAGATAGATAGATAGATAGATAATGAAAAGACCCTGATAGATAAATAGATAGATAATAAATAGACCCAGACAAACAGATAGATAGATAGATAGATAGATAGATAGATAGATAGATAATGAAAAGACGCCGACAGATAGATAGATAGATAGATAGATAGATAGATAGATAGATAGATAATGGATAGACTCAGACAGACTGGCAGACAGGCAGACAGACAGATAGATAGATAAATAGATAGATAATGAATAGATCCAGATAGATAGATAGATAGATAGATAGAGAGAGAGAGAGATAATGAATATATCCAGATAGATAGATAAATAGATAGATTATGACTAGAAAGCTCTGTTAATGTTCTTAAATATTTATCCACAAAGGCGCTAGTATCTTGCTTTTGTTTCTTTGTCGCATTTACCTGTTTCCTCCTCTTCCTTTGTCCTTCATTGTATTGCTCTGAATTGTACTGTAAACACGTTTGAATGCCTTGCATGTTATCGCAGTGAAATAGGCTCAATGCAATAAAAAAGCACGTGAAAGAAAAAGAATGGTTCATTCAGGGCGGGAGAAAGTGTGGACAAACAACGGTTCATTTCTAGTGAGGAGACGTCGCACTGAATGACTCGCCCCGTCATTGTATGCCGTCATAATTACAACGGAGCGCATTATGACCAAATGAACTCTGGACATTTAGTGCCCATAATGCCAGGTGGATTGGAGTTCCTTTTTTTTGTTTCGTCCATCAATTAACGGTCAAGCAATAAGTGAACGAAGAGCTGAACGATTGAATAGAGTGGACGGTCGACTGGACGGTGGAGTATTCCAAACTCATTACTGTTTTTTAATGCTATTTTTAAATGGTAAAAAAAGAAGGTGAGGATAAAACACTCAGACTAATAATTCTTAATAACAGTAATATTAAAGGGAAACTATAAAGTCGGAAAATCGAAAGAAAGCGAGAAACAACTTAAAAGTAGGCATTACTAAGAAACAATTAAGTATGAAGGGGAAAAAAGTTGCAATGGCATAAGTGACTTTGCTTTTATTTCATCCCAATGGGATAGCAACCAGAAGACGGAACGAGTAAATCTCAAACGTTATCAGAACGAACCAAATTGCCTCAATGATATCCAAAACGGCGAAGATCCTGCGCGACTTTGAGAGCCTGATCATCCAATGTTTTCTAGGTCTATAGTATTATGACGACTTCCTGAGCATTAAGAAATGAATGGTCTCCCAAATGTGACCATGGCTCCGATCGTTATTGCCAGATTCTGTTATGAACGATCTATGTTTACTTATAGCCTCAAGTATAAACACATCCAATATATACATATATACAGGTATAACCTTGACCGATGTTTGTTTATGGCTTGAATATCAACGACATCAATCTTTCATCCATTGGCTCAAGTACTAACTCGACATACATTTACCTATAGATTTCGGTAAAACTCGATCAATGCTTAACCAATTGCTGTAGAGTGGTTTCACAATGGAGGCTTGTATTTGTACTAAGTCGGTCCTAAAATAGGTTCGATATACAAAACGTTAGGAACTTGATATAATAGGTATAACGCAGTAATCTAGTTGTGGTGGCTGATACTTTAGTATCCGACTAACGGTCGTCCGGCATCGACTGACTGACCAGCTCTCTGAGCGACTTAGCGACTGACTCGTTACTCTTACTTATTATAGGTGGGAGAGTCTATTAACTACAGAATAGGTGTGTTCCACTATAACACTACTGACTCAAGTAGAAATACAAACCATGAACTATAAGCTCGATGATTACTTGTAAATTTACTCATAAATTTGAATGCTATTTACTTACATACTCTACTATGACCACAACGAATGTTTGCCTATAGGTTCGAATATAAACCGAAATTCAAATCCTTCTCGTTTTTGATGGAAGAACCTTCCAGAATGATCAATTTTTCACAGGTGCAGCCGAACTCACCACGTTTGACAAACTGCGGTTTGGTGAGAATTTAATCCATATTTGGAGGATTTGAATTCAGAGTTGATCTTCTACACTGATTGCCACCCAATGAGATAAGATTCAGTCTGTCCTATATACGAGTAATGTTTATCTAAACACTCAAGTATAAACACGACCAGTGTTTACCCCTAAATATAAGTTGAGACCCAGCCAATGTTTAATTTATCCGCCTGCTGACCCAACTGCCTGATGCAGACAGTGCTTAGCAATTGCAACCCACCAACATGATGCCACAGGCTTCACCATATCCCTAGCACGGGGATCTTACGTGTTGCTATGACTTACAAGGGTTGGACATTTCTAGTTCAGTTTGGATGCTTTCTAGGGGCATTTCGCTAATTCTTCCACTCTACTGCATCGACTCTTCTAGGGATCAGGTGATAGACAAAACAGGGTGTTCTGCTGTTGGTGCTCGGCGACAGTTTTGGCGCTGTCATCCAGGTCAGACAACCAACAAGGGGAAAGAAGAGTCAGAGTCTTGACTGATTGCGTGTCTTTGTCAAATACGAACTACAGCCGATGATGAATGTTTATCTATATAGGCTCAAGTATAAATACAAAAAATTTTTTACTTATAGCCTCAAGTATAAATTTGACTAATATGTATCCAGTATAAACTGAAAATTTTGAGGACAAATGACAGTCTGGAGAACATCCGTTATAAAATGTCTCCGGTTGAAAGATAAAACTGTGCAAAAACAAAATAATGTTCAAGACAAAAAACAAAAAAAAACAAAAAAAAAACAAAGCTGTTTGAGAATAAAAATTTATGGAATGAAGACAGGATAGAAGCCCATATATGTTCAACATTTTAAAAATCATTTCAACACAGGCAAGGCGATAAAATCACTAACAGACAAGGGGTTACTAAGTCTTAGAGAATACGAGAAAAAATATAATTAAAGAGGAAGACAATAAAAGAACAGGGATTAAGAAGACAGAAAATAACGAGAAAGGTTAGGTGATTAGCGACATATCAGCCTCTTAAGGGTCATTTAATACCAAAATTTAATTTTCTTGGAAGCATTAGTAATTTCATTTAAAAATGTATTGCTGGTAATTTTTTTTCTTTAAAAATGTACGGCTGGACTTCAAAAATACGTCGACTGCACCTCTGCAGAAGTGTAAGACCTCCCCCCACCCAACAATGAGACGTCCTGGATATGACGATAAACTACATCCGGCAGCAAGGCCTTTGTTCAGGAGATTTTGAGGAGCGCGGAACCACCTCTTAATTGCTGGTTTCTCAAGTCTGGCCCGGGGTTGGTAGCATCTTTTAAGGTTCCAGCTATGAGCAAATATTTAACGTCCAAATTTGAAGGCACTCAATGATACATCCTGCAAAAGAGTTGATATCTTGGATCTCACATAACAGATTCCCAAAAGACTTCAACATCTGCAAAGCTCTTGCATGGGTTGCGAGTAACAAAATTCGCAAGATTGCATCCGCGTTAAAGGCCCAGACCTTTCGAACCTTTATTGAACTGTTCCTATTGTATGGATCAGAAACTTGTACATAATCAGCTTATTTTGAAAGACGACTGGACATATACAAATCTACTTAGAAAACCCCAGAACATCAGTTGGAGATCCCATGCAACGCTTAACACAACTTATGGAGAACTGAGATCAATCTCTCTTAAGGGTGTTAAAATTCATGTAGGTGATACAGCTATATCCTTCCAGGTAACGCAATAAAAAGAACTACCAGTTTCTATGTCGAACAAAGTGGGGCGGACTCCCTCCAGGTCAATATCATTATGGTTGCATATTACCTTCTGGTTTGTGACCTCTATATTTGGGTCTATAAACGAAGGAATAATCACATATATAACTAAATAAAAGTTTGAGAAATACTATAAATGTATACATATTAAAATATTTATTGCAACAAACATCAATATTAAAACATATATACCATTACAATAATGTCTATTTTCATTCTAATACAGCCAGTTGACTGGTTTCTGCATTCCGTCGAGTATTCATTTTGAGTCTTCTCTTCTTTACTTTTCGAGTTTCAGATTGTCTGGCAGCTGCAGTCCACTGAGTATCCATGCTAAATTTTCTTCAGTTTCAGATTGTCAAGCTTCTACAGACCGTTGAACATTTAATGTACGTCTTCTGTCAGCTTCATCTTGATTTTCACACTGTCTTGCTGCTGCAGCCCGTTGAGCATCTAATGTACATCTTTTGTCAGCTTCTTCTTCATTTTCAGACAGTCTTGTCGCTGCATTCCGTTGAGGATTTAATGTATGTCTTCTGCCAGCTCCTTCTTGAGTTTCAAACTATCTTGCAGACCGATAAGCATCTATTAATCGTCTTAGATCCGCCTGTTCTTCACTTTGTGACACTAAATATATGCATATTACAATATTGATTTAGGTATTGCAAAAAACATCAATCCTAAAACATATATACCATTATACTAATGTTTATTTTCATTCTAATATGCCTAGTTGCCTGGTTGCTGCACCCCGTCATTATTTATTTTGAGTCTCCTCTTCTTCTGGATTTTCAGTCCATTGAATATGCATGCTAAGTCTCAAACTTTACTCATATTAATCACACACAACACACACACACACACGAACGCACGCACGCACACGCGCGTATGTGTGCGTGTGTGTGTGTTTTGTTTTGCGCACGGAAAACAGTGAAGGGCTCCTATCTATCTATCTATCTATCTATCTATCTATCTATCTATCTATCTATCTCAATGTACATCCACAAACACTCTATCTACGCCTGTGCATAGGTGTTTGTGAGTGCACTGGTGACAGCACACACACACACACACACACACACACACACACACACACACACACACATATATATATATATATATATATATATATATATATATAAGCGCAGATAGGTTCACATATCCTTCGATTCTCACTCCTCCGCCCATTTAGGATTTAATTTCCGGTTCCTTGTAAAGTGCTTCTTTAATTATTCTCTTTCATTCCCAGTAGTCCCTTATATCTTAGTAACGTTATGTACTTTTTTATGGTGACGTGATTAAAATTGATTTGTCAGTGTACTAACTACTTGAAATTATCAAAGTGGGGTGGCAATGCTAGGTGATACCATACAGTTGGTTGAAAGACTTTAGAAGGAGCCGGAAATTTAATCCTAAACAGGAAACAAAGGATAAACTTCTATTCCAGTTCATAAAACTAGGGAGGAACATGAAGCGAGCGATAGGCTAACCTATATACTTCTATTGAAGAAGAGAAAAAAATAGTAAACATTCTCTAGGAGTTCTTGCGGTTTTCTTTCTGCGCCTGCCCTCAATATAATGTATCTGTGTTACGCTTTGTTGTTCAGATTGTATCCTGTTAGATCTTCTAGTTCTGTTCGGGACGCTTCGCTATTTAGGAAGACGAATCCTTATCTTACACCCATTTTTATTGTACAGTTGCTCAATTCATTTTCCATCTGTAGAAGGATTGTTCCCATTACAAAACTTATTTTACACAGCGCTGACCCACTATCGGATCCCTCTATGTCGGACTAGACTATACAAGGGAAAGCTTAGGCTATTGACACATTGGCTCTTTGACTCTTAAAAAATATGTAAGCAATGATTCTATGTAAAATGAAGTCATACAAGGTTAAGTTTAAGTAAGGGTTGTATGGCCTACTTTACATCACT